TTCCAAGAAACTACTTTTTACTATGACCTTAAGACACGAGTCACCTTTTTGTCACACCATCAATTTACTTTCTGGTTTGAAGAGAAAAATCATCCTAATGTAATGATTGTGGCTCATCACGCTTTTGTTGTGCTATTTTGATGAGAAACATATTGAAATTTATGAATAGTTGGATGTGAGGATAGCTCCTAAGGCTATACCCCTCAGAATTTTCTAAGAATACTAGAACTTTTGGAAATGAGGATTCTAACTACGTGTTGTGTGAGTTTAATTCCTAGAATAGTGGTTTATTTTCTAAGGATCAGGTTATTTGTTTTTCTAAGATTCAGAACAATTACTAAAGTCTTTAAACGAAGTTGGAAAAAAAATTTGAAACAGTGAAAGTATTTGTTTTCCTAGAGGGATGCAAAGAGAATTCTTAGAAAATTGAATCACCATATGGTTTCTATCAACTTAAGGTTTGTTATATGGAGTGTATTTAGTCGGAGTTCCTCTCTTTCTAAGAATTTCCTCCTATTGAAAAATTTTTGTACTCGAGTATTTCTCTTATTTAAGAGATGTTATTCTCGTTTAGGAAATCTCTCTGTTAGGATTTTTTTTTAAACTAAGGAATCTTCGAAAATTTCTCACACTATGGAATTTCCTTCATTTTAAGGAATTCTTATCATTTGGAAAACTCCCATTTAAGGGATTTCTTGTGCCACTTTGGAGACTTGGACTTAGATAGGAAGTTTTCTCCAAGTTAAGGTATTGATTCCAAATGGGAAAGTGTTTCTCACTCCTAGAAAATTTTTCTCTCGGTTGGGAGATTTCTCCCCACTCTTAGGAACTTTTGTTTTTAATTATATATATACATACATAATATATATGTATATATATTTGCCACGGTTAGCTTGTGCTCCAAGAGGTGTACACACGTCCGGGTCTTTCGTTTTTTTATCTATGTTTATTTTTAATTAATTAATATATTATATATATATATATTTTTTCTTTTATTTTATTTTATTTTATTTGTTCTTTTTCTTTTGTCCCATTGTATATATGTTGCAATTATATACATATATACATAGATATATATGCCGTCTGGATATTACAAAATAAACTTGTTTAATGAATAAATTTATTATTTTTCTATCATCATATCATAGCATATTCTAATTAGGGATTGCTTACGCTTGATGACAAATAATAACTTCTTATTCATTTGAAGTCATCCATATCATTGAAATTAATATATACTCTCCAATTTTGCTCCCTCTTACCGTCTCCGCCACCACTCTTCCTTTTTTTTTTCCCTTTCTTCTTCATCCTCTCATACTTGGATGCTTCTCTTATTATTATTATTATTATTCATCTTTCCTTCTTCCTCTTAATCACAAAACTCACTCTCCATCTACAATATCTAGCAAAAAGCAAGCCAGCCACAGTTGTCTGCTTTGTAGAGAGAGAAAATATTGATGGGTAGAGAGAGATAAATGAAGAAGAAAGAAGTTGATGAGTCTGATGAGTGGTGATTAGTTTAATTTTTTATTTCTATTTTATTTGGTTGTTTGACTTAAGATGGAAAAAGAAGAAAACGATGACTTTGACGGGTTAAGAAGAATCCATTTATTTATGTTTTTATATTTACTAAGAATTTGTTATTATATTGAACTTAAAATATTGAAGTTAAAATTATTAATTAAATTGAACATACGACTTGTCTTCTTATCATTTTTATTGAATTATTTCTATTACGAATATGTTATGTATAAATACATTGAAGTTAGAATTACTAATTATATTAACAATACAACTTATAGGTATATTAGAGTCTCACTTTTCTTCTTATCATATTACAAACATTCTTTTTCACGAGTAATTCTATTAATAATTTGTTACAAAAATACATTGAAGGTAGAATAATTAATTAAATTAACAATACAACTTTCTTCTAATATATGTACACTCTTAGCTAAAGAAACTTTAAAATTCTTTGTTAAATTCTTGTTCAATACATGATGTTCACATGGTCAAATTCTTATAATACTATGAAGTTACAGATCTCAAGTAAATTTTTAGTTATGAGTTAAAATTTTTATGTAAAAATAAAATGAATTCATATTTTTTATCTAAAAACATTATAATCAAAGTTTACGTATATTAATTATGTATTTGTAAATTTTATATTATTTTTAATGGATATAAAAAGATAAAAGTCTTTAAATTAATTATGTTTATATTAATTTTAAAATTATGTGCAATGAATAAATGTTAAGAACGACCTTTACCAACATAAGAACTGCTGCTAAAAACTAAATCTATATAAACAGTCTATCAGTTGGTATAAATTCATAACTTATACAACAACAAAAAAATAGTTACTTTTTAAAGATCTTTTATCTTATTTTGATGATCATAGTGAGTATTAGTATAAATCCTAAAATACAATGAAAGAAGCGATTGTTGGTACAACTCTCCAAGAGCTAAACCAAGAAAAAATGATCGTATAGTTTGTTACTATTTTGTCATTTTTTTTATTAATAGTGAACGAGATGAAACAACACAAACTAAACTAAAACAAATAACACAAAAAGAAATAGAATGACATAGCACAACACAAAATGACATATCACACATGACAAAACAACATAAAATTTAATGTATCAAACATAACCCTAATTTTGCTAAATTAATTCATTTGTTTTAAGTTTGAGCATAACTGATTCATAATTCAATATTTCTCCAAAATGAATTAATATTCTAAATATTGATTTTTTGTATTGAAATGCTAATAATTTTTTATAAAATATAAAACGAAGTATAATGACACGAAAAAAATAAAGTAAGATAAGAAATAACATGACATGATATGAAATAACACAACACGATAAGACACAAAATTATATAACAAAAAATGACACAAAACTGAACTAAAATAACACAATAGAAGAAAAATCATAATGATATAATACGATAAAAAAAATGACAAATTACATGTGATAACATGACACGAAATTTTATATATCAAACAAAATACTAAATTTTTTAAAATTAATTTATTTCAAACATTACCATAATTGACTGATAGTTTAATATATATCCAAAATGAATTAGTGTGCTCAATAATGATCTTAAAAAATTCTTAAAAGAACATTACTAATTATATTATAAAAAATTGAGATTACAATATATTTTAAGCTCAACCTTAATTTTGAAAACCTAAAGAAAGACGCTAACTATATTTATAGGTTCCCCCGAGTATAAATAACAATGTTATTTTCTAAGACCTAGAAGAGAAATATAGAGATAATAGATTATCAAGAACATATATATGAGTGTGTGATTATCTAGAAAACCATGCAAAAACAAATATTAACTAATACTAGTAAAAGACTTTTAGAAAAAAGAAAAAAGAAAATCATGATTTTGATATACTTTTCAAAGATATTGATCCATCTTTTGACGGCATCCACTAGATGTCTCTAGATCTACCAAGAAGTAAATGATTGCATTAAACAAATGAGGTATCTTTTTGACAAACATCTAGTAATAATGCATTAATTGGCAAATGAATATTAGTAATCAAATGTTTGCATGTACAGAAAACGAAACTTCACCAACCGATCCCATCAATAATCCCCAACAGTACATCGCAAATGTGCTTCAACCCATTTTCTCTACGTGCAATCTCCGGCGGATAAGCCAACCCCGGATACCTCCTAAATCCATTCCGGCAAACATTTGGGTAATCGGCGGCGGCCATGATGTGCATGTAGGCATAATCATAAGCCTCCACAGCCAGATCTTGAGCTGAAGATTGAAGTGCATCGCCGGCATAACCATATTTATCAGCACACTCTTTAATCACCTTCTTTAAGTTCGTGTCGTTTGCGAGACTCAGCTGCCGAGAAGACAAGTAAGTTGAAGTAGCCGTGGCATTCGCCAAACCAATTCCGACCATGATAAGTGCCAGACCCTTTGCGTCTGTTTTCAAGCTGGTTGGATCAGATTTCAGAGACGACACACATAGATCGTAGTACTTGGTGGTTTTACATGTTTTCTGGATCAAATCTGAATCTCCATTAGCAAGAAGAATCCAAGGTTGAGCATGGAAAATATGGTGTGGGAATGCTAAGGAGAGAAGAAGAATGAACAAGAAAATCTTGGAAGCCATTTTGGTTGAAATTTGAAAATGACTTTTTTGTTGAGATGGGTTTGATTCGTTTTATTTTCCCATTTGTGATCTTGTATTTATAGACCGGGATTGATTTGGTAGTGGTGCTTTTTTGTTTGAATATGTGGATTAAGAAATGAGAAAGGAACAATTTGCTTTATACAAGGGAAGGGGGTAGCTTGGCAGGTAGCATATGCTGGGAACAAGGGCGTGTTTGGCAGGTGGGAAAATTGCCAAAGAAAGAGTCACGGGTTGCATAATAATGCCACCCTACACCCTTATGTTACAATTTTCAAGGCTGTGTTTTTAAGCTACTGCAGTATCTTGTTCTCATGTACAAGTACTAGAACCATATCTGTTCAGCATACAGAGGATCTGGACCCACCATTTATTGGATCCAATGAGATCATTTGATTCAATTTTTTTATTGTTAATTAAATGGGTCTAACAATCTGTTCATAATGTATACATATAGTCAGAATTAAGAGGAGATTAATATATAGGAAAGTAATAATTAGAATACAGATCATATGGTCTGACTTTGGTCGTTGAAAAATGCTTGGCTTGATTGAAAGCCGCGTTTCCAACATTAAATTTTTATGTGCATAATAAGTTCACATTTCTTCCATGGAATGTATACGTACACACTCAATCCAAACAAGCCTTAACCAATTTTAACTATTAAATTTACTTTCTTGGAAAAGTAAAGATGTGAAGATTAAAGTTTCTTGGGTTTGATTTGATGGGTCTTCTTTAAAGATTAGATTTTTCAGAAGGATCAAAAGCCTGTTAGGGTCATGTGCAAAAGAGAATTCCAACTATTAAAGATTTAAAGTTTCTTCCCATCTCTTTTTCCAACAAATTTGAAAATTAGAGAAAAAAAATTCAAATCAAATATTTAAAGTTCTTCTTATATATATATATATATATATTGAGAAAGTTCAATTCTTTCCTTATATGGCTCTACAAAGGTTGATTTGTTCAATGCTTCCACCCTTTTATATAAATATGTTTTGTTTAAGTATAATTATACATTTCGTATGTATTCTTGTTAAGAATAAATATAAGGACTCTCCAAGCAACAAAATAGAATGATGGTAGAAAAATAAAATATTGTAGTTAATTTTTTAAGGAGTGAAAAGAATATAATGATTTTGTTCTTGTAATAGTAATAATCAAATGATTCAAGTTACATTTTTATCCTTGATTCGTTTAAACTTAAAAAGAAAATTAGTAGAATGATGGTTCTATTTTTTACAACAACGAAGTACATGGGACAATCCACAAATCAGGCAAATTCTTTTATATCTATACAATGTACAAGAATCACACAGGTTATAGGAAAGAAGAAGAGGACTCTGTTCTATAAACCACCACTATGTTCCATGAACACTAATTTTGCAATCCTTTTCATTGCTAATCCAATCAAAGCTTATTGTACACCTCAAAAACTGACAGAATTGTTCGAGAAACTAAGCTTCCATGCGAATGATACACCGAAGACTCTCGCCTTTAAGCATATACTCAAAGGCCTTGTTGATTTCTGAGAAAGGGACTTCGTGGGTGATGAACTTCTCAAGCTCAAGCTCCTGCCCAAGTTTCGATAAGTAATTATTAATCAGAACCATATTCTGCAAACTTGTGACTGTTTCAATTTACAGAATATCTAGTGATTTGTCTAGTTACATGTTTGGATATGCTTCATAATCCAAGCAACAAAAATATCCAAGATTGTTCAACAATGTTAAAATGATAAACATAAAAGAATTGAGCTGACCTTGGTCATGTATTTCTCCACCACTGCAGGAAGATCTGAGCGTGGTTTGTAATTCCCGAAGAAGGTACCTTTGAGAGTCTTCTCATTCAAAACATTCACCGGATGGGTTTTGAATGCATCGTCTTTATTTGGAACACCAACAAGTACAGCCACACCCCATCCCTGAAACGAAATTTAGAGAACAAGCTTAGAATTTATAGATCTTTCATGCTCATCTTTATTAAATGACCATAACAAGTTGATGAAAGATAATTACATCATGAACACATTCAAATGCAGAAATCATGGCATTGATGTTTCCAGTACATTCCACACTTCGGTCAACTCCTCCACCGGTCATTTCAGCAAGCACCTGTGAGGACCAATAAATTTGATGTTGAACAATACTCAAATCTCCTTGGATTTATAATTCAGGTTTCTACAAACCTCTTGCACTGGCTTGTTAAAGTCTTTTGGATTCACAAACTCGGTGACACCAAATTTCTTGGCTGTTTACAAGAACATGGAAACCCGAGAATTGGATACTGAACAACCAAAGACAAGATGTACAAAGAATATTGGAAGTGCATGACATACTAATCCAACATATAGGAAACCATTACTTAGCTTGTGAATAAAGTAGCTTACATCTCGTATAATTTTCACTCACCTTGTTCAAATCTCCTGGAGTTCAAATCAACCCCAATAATCCTCGAAGCTCCTGCAATTCTAGCCCCTTCAGCAGCCTAGTCAGAGAACAAGAAAAATTCATAGAATATGAGCACCAGCAGCATTGAGTAACAGAATTCTTTGAAAATGAATATAAACAAGTTACTCACAGCAAGACCAACAGCTCCCAATCCGAAAATGGCAACTGAAGAACCTTTTGGGGGCTTTGCAACATTCAAGGTGGCACCAAGACCTGAAGTTGAAGCAAACTCAAGTTCATATACATAACATAAAAAGAATTCAAATGAAAGAAGGTGAAAGCAGTTTGCCCAACCTGTAGAGATTCCACAGCTTAGAACACAAACTTTGTCAAGTGGAGCAGCAGGATTGATTTTAGCAACACAACCAACATGAACCACAGTATATTCACTGAATGTAGAGGTGCCAACAAAATGGTAAATGGGTTGTCCATTAATGGAGAATCTTGACTTGCCATCGTTAAGCATTACCCCTCTGTCAGTGTTGATCCTTAGAAGATCACACATGTTACTCTCCTCTGATTTACAGTGACGACACTCCTTGCACTCACCGGTGAAGACAGGAAGCACATGGTCTCCGGGTTTGAGGTCTGTCACACCCTCACCGACACTCTCAACAATTCTAGAAGAAATATGAAATACTAATTAGAACATCAAGGTAATTAGAGAACCTCCAGGCCTAATTATCAAAAAGAGAACATTAATGGCCGTACCCTCCAGCTTCATGACCAAATATGCGAGGAAATAATGGAGTTTGTCCCTGCAATTCCATGATTAAACCATTTTCAATGTTTCAGAGTAAGGATAGATCAAATTGGTACAAATATGATCAGGAGTAATCGGTTACCTCTGCCTCCCAGAAGTAAACATCTGTGTGACACAAAGAGGTGAAGAGGATCTTGAGACGAACCTCCATTTTCTGGGGGGGTGCCACCTCCACCTCTTCTATCACCAGTGGCTTCCCAGCTTCCCATGCCACAGCAGCTACAATGCATAAATTTTCAAATCAAAATTCCAAAACACAAACGCTTTGACACTTCATTTTTCTTCACTCTAAAACCATGGAAGAGCATAATTGAAGGAAAAAAAATATCATCTCAATCCAGTAATCTTCAATATAATTAAGACCTTTTACTGATCAGATAAGAAGTACCCAGAATCCAAAAAACAAAAATATAAAGAGGGTCGAGACATTAACTAGAATCAAATGTATTTCCATAACTAGGAGAGAGAATACTTGCAGCAATCCAGACGATATTAGAAAACAAAGCATAATAAACTAAACCAAACACAGTGAAGAACATCTTAAAAATGGAAAAAGAAAACAGAGACCGTTATTTGTGCAAGTAAGGTCTAAGCTTCAACAACAAAAACGACGAAAGAAACCTTTTTATTGGAGAAAACCATATGTTTACCTTTGCAATGGATGACTTGACCAACGGTACTTGACATCTTTCTTGGAACTTTTATAAGCTCTGTTCTCTAATCATTTGATTGCTTTGTTGATTTTGTTTTTGGCAGTGAAGAGATGGGTGTGCTTATACGGGTATTTATACTCCATGAGACCCAATGAATTTGTATGGTTGGATTCTACAAATGGGGAATAGAAAAAGAAATTAAGGAAAAAAATGATCAAATACCATAAACCCTTTACTAAAACCATTGTTTGTTTCTGTAGTTGATAGCTACAAACAGCGGCGTCTTTATAAATTTGCCTCTACTCTTCACTATTTCAGGTTTTACGCGCAGCCGGCTGGTTTCTATACCTTCTGCTGGTTTCTTTTCTGGTTTTCTGCAAGATGTATGGTTGACTTCCATCTCTGCATTACTTCATATTTATTTAATTTGGTTTTTTTTTTTTTGATTTTGTTTTGACTCGAGACCAATTTGCTTAAACTCAAAAAGACAATATCATTCCATTCAGAATTTTTCAGCTGGTTAAAAGTAAACATGGACAAATTCTTTCCATGGTCTGATCAGTTGGAGTCTCAGCTGAAAATCTTTCTTGAATATTTTCGTCTATTGATTCCTAATCGAGTTATGAAATTTTATCGAACCAACTATTTTTTTTTTTAATAAAAAAGAATGTTGTTAGATTAAATTTTCTAAAAAATAATTGCATGTTTTACTATAATAATTTGTAAATTGTAATGTTTTATTGAGTTTTTAAAAAAATATAATAATCTATATGATGTATTTGTTAAGTTACATGTAATAATTAACATTAAATACTTATAATAACTTTGAGTACAAAATTTTAAGGATTGATGGTACTAAATTCAAAATGTTATAATTCATATATAATGGATAAATTATCTTCGATTAAATTAAATTTTTGTAAATATAATTATAAAAATTGAGTCCTAATTGAAAATTACTTTTCGTTAAATCCAAATTTTAAATTATTAATTTTGCATCAATTTAGTATATATACTTTACAAAATATTTGAATTAATAATTTTTTTAAATAATTACTAATATTGTTAACAATTATATCACATATAATCAATTCAAACATATGATATTATTTAGTTTATTAATTTTTTACGCTAAATATTACATATTGTCTAATATATTATATAATATAATACATATTTTAAATAATATTTAAATATTTTTAAAATAAAAATAAAATCATTTTCACCTCGTTTCTTCCATTATTTTCTCTTTCTTTATTTTTCCCCGAAATAAAAAGGATAGACCGTTTTTAAATTTAAAAAAAAAAAAGAACTGATAAAAACGGGTCAAGGCCCATTACAGGTAGTGTAGTGGGCTTTCGGACCCAAAGGAATGAAGTTGATATGGGCCAAGGCCCAAAAAGTCATATCCATGTGTATTTACACGATCTATGCAAACACGTGAGAGCCCGTTGGAGACGATGGGTTCTCTGGAGACTCCTGTCAACGAAGAGAAAAACGGAACCACAACCGCGTCCGCCACCGGAGCCGCTGATTCTTCCGACCGAAAGCCTCCGTCTTCTAGCAATGGTTCGGCACCTCCTTCTGCGGAGGCAGCGCCCTCTTTGGCACCGGCTGAACCGGATGTAGCCAAGAAGAGGAAGACGAGCATGCTTCCCTTGGAGGTGGGGACTTGCGTCGCGTGCCGCTGGAGGGACGGAAAATACCATCCCGTTAAGGTCATCGAGCGCAGAAAGATGCCGGTCGGTGGACTTAACGATTACGAATATTACGTTCACTACACCGAGTGTGAGTCCTCGCCCATTTCTGTATCTTTTTGCTGTAGATTTTGGGTTAGGGTTAGAATAGGGATTTGATTATGATTGTTGAATCACCAATTTTTATGATATATAGGATGGCTAGCATTATTTTTAAGATTGTGGCACGTAGGTTGATACATAAATTCTGAATGTAAGTATGAATAAATAGATTCACAGTGTAGATTAGACCAAATTGCCTCTACGCTAATGGTAATATAGTGATAACGAACTGTTCTAATGGTCTTGTGGTTAACACTAAGTCCACTAAAGAGTGTAGGAACGAGGAAATTTTGAAAATAGGCTCAGAGTGGAAGACGGGCTAAAATGGTGGGTAGTGAAGTTGGATCCAAATTTTTTTTTATTTTGGGCATCTTAAGTAGGTATTTCTGGTACAACATGAATCTTCAGATAAGGGAAAGGAGTAACATAGGCTTGTTAAGGGAGTTTCGGAAGATAAAGATGCTATGTGGAATCTTCGCTTCCATCTTAGTCTGAGAACAGGCTCCTGGTAGTGGCTTTTTGTTAAGTCAATGTGAAAGTTTCTTCTACTGTAAATAAAAAGGAAAGATGATATCTTGATGTACGTGCTCTCTGATTATTCTGAAGATTTAAGCTTTCTTCCAAGAAAAATATATCTGATGGATTAAGCTAATCTTGTCCCTTTTTCTATAATGGTGATTATGAAATTTAAAACTAAATACATTCAGGTTCATAAGTTGATACGGTTTTTCTTTTTTTTTTTTTTTTAAATGTGCAGTTAATAGGAGACTTGATGAGTGGGTAAAACTTGAACAGCTTGATCTTAATTCAGTTGAGACTGTTGTTGATGAAAAGGTGGAAGACAAGGTATTGATTATTTGTTGTCGTGTTGTCCTCTTGGAATTATTTCTTGTATACAAAAATGGACGAGGTTTTTGCAACTGTTTTTTCTTAATTCAACTTTTGCATTCATTTAAAAGTGCCCTTTTCCTATATTTTTGAACTTTCCTTATCTTAGCAAAGGCAATTGATTTTCTTTGTAGCTTGTATTCTTACTTATTCATTGGTTATTAGGTGACAAGCTTGAAAATGACACGTCACCAGAAGCGAAAGATTGATGAGACACATGTGGAGGTATGTAATATCGTTGTCAGATGGTAGTTACTGTAATTGGTACACAACATTAGCAGGTATTCAGGTGTTTCTCATAAATACATGGGGGAATACAGGCTTTATGAGAGCACCAAATAGGGCAAGGAAGAGGAATGGGAACAAACATCTCCAAATAAGAAAAGGAAAAGGAAAAGGAACTATATTTGCATAGTTGGCATTGGAAATGCATTTACCATTGTTGGAAATGGACAATACTATTGCGACTATCAATTTAATACAGAAATTCTTGAATGAATTAAGTGTGAATTGGTTTTGGCAGATTTCTATAGATGTAAATATATTTATGTATATATCTTTTTGTGTCTGTATATATCATATTAATTGGCAATCGCATTTACTAAACATGAAGCTGGTGTCTTTTGTGTTATATATTTGTATAAACACGTGTTTTCTTTCTCAGACACGCTGTTATACACACACACACACTGACATTAGTGATGCAATTGAGTAATATGTCAAATGCCCACCAGGAATAATGTAATTAAAAGTTAAAAGATCATAGTTGCTTCCGTTGAGAATTTTTTTAAAGAAAGTTTTTTCTTTATATAGATTATTCCATGATTGTATAAACTTCAAATAAACCTCTTAAATATGTTTCATGG